TACTGCAACCAGGGATATCTCCAGTCATTCTGATTTATATCTTGCCACTGGACTCAGATGATTTCAGAGGAAGAAGTGAAGCTGGTGACCCTGCACAGCCCTCCCTCGCTTAAATCCAATTCACAGTATTACCTTCCTGATGCAATGGTCCCCTTCAAAAAGGAACAACAAACAACAATAACAACAACAACAATTTAACCACCTACTGGACTGAGAAGATAAAATGATAAGCAAATATTTGGTAAGAGTGTACCATGTACCAAGCACTGGGGATACAAAGACAAAAATCAAAGTCCCTGCCCTCAAAAAACTTTACACACACATAAGTTCATGTAAATACAAATTAAACTGGAGAAGTGGAGAGAAGACACTGGCAGCTAGGAGGAATCAGGAAAGTATTCATGTAGGAGGCAGACTTTTAGCTGGGTTTTGAAAGAAACTGAGGATTTTAAGAGGAGGTAAGGGAGGAATCATGTTCCATAATTGGGAGGCAGCCAGAATAAAAAGCAACAAAAGAGTATGTGAAGGGCAGTAATATGTTTTACATATACCCTCACCTCACTCTCATAATCACACCTCAGGTGCCACCTCCTACAGAGGCCTTTCCTGATCCTGCCAACAAATGGTTGGTAATATATACTAAAGTATATATATCTTTGATGAGGATGGGATCTAGATCCCAAAAAGGAAAAACCCTGGACTTTCCCACATGGCCAAATCTCAGGTTATAATCCCATTAACTGGCCTTTCATTGTAGCTACACCAGTCTCCCAATTGTTAGCCTTAACCTAGCCCAGCTCTCCAAGGTCATACCTCCCTATGGGCCCCAGGCCACTTCTCATCCTTAATCCTGTCTAAACTCCATTCTCCCTGCCCAAGTGGTCCAGGTCCCTGGAGTTCTATTACCTCATAAGACTACTTGGCCACTCCTAGATCCCTCCTATAGTCTTTCTGTATATAAGGTCTATCTTGTCTCCATTAAGATGCTCAGATACTTAAAATCTAGCCACTGCTCAGATTCTTATAATCTAGCCAATAGCTCATTAATGTTCAGATTCCTTAAGAGTCTGCCCAATTTGACAGATGTTCTAATAAACCTTGTCTTTGGCTGAAAGAAGGCCTGGGTAGAATTCTTTCGGGCACTCAGCCTCACCTCTAACAGAAGGTAAGTCTTTAGGTGATAGAGGTTTTTTTGTCTGTGTATCAGAAACATCTTGCCCTTAATGTTTATTGTCTCTATGCAGATGATTCTGAAATCTCAATCTCTAATCAATCAAATATTTATTAAGACATTGAGATGGGGATCAGGGCTCCCTGCTCTCAAAAGAGTTGATACTCTACTAGGGTGGAGTGAAACACACATCATAGTCACAACTAAGTAAATTAAGAATACATTCACAATAAATACATGGAGATGGAAGTAAGGCACTAATAAGGAAAAGGAAGAGTTTTTTGAAATGGTGGTAACTGAGCCAAGCCTTGAAAAAAGACAGGATTTCTAAGAGGTAGAAAGCAAGATGAAGAGCAATCTAGGCATAGTGGTTTGCCAGTAAAAAAGATTCAGAGGTAGAAGACAGAATGCCTCATATGACCTAATTACCGCAACTCAGTTTGGCTAGAGAACCAAATGAGGAAGGGAAGGAGAAGGCATAAATAAGCATTTATTAAGCACCTACTATGTTCCAGGAACTGTGATACTAAATGCTTTACAAATATTATCTCATTTGATTCTCATAAAAACCTTGCGAGGTAGGTGCTATCATTATCCCCATTTTATAATCAAGGAAAGAGTCACACAGCTAGAAGTAAGAGTTTGAGGCTGGCTTTGAATATGTCTACCCACACTACTCCTAACTGCCTAAGTGGGTAAATGGGGCTAATGTGTAATGAGAGCCTGGAAAGATAAAGTAAAATCAGAATGTTGAGGGCTTTAAATGCTGTTTATATTCAATCCCAAAGGGAAGAGGGGGCCACTGGAATTTCTTGATCAGGAGAGTAACACAGTTAGACTTGCACTTTGGGCAGTGATGTGGAAAATGTATTGTATAGAGAAGACACAGTATGCAGGGAGACCAATTAGGAAGCTATTGTCACATTCTGTTTGAGAGGTCTTGAGGTCCTAGACTAGGGCAGCTGTAGTGTGACTAGAAAAACTGGAATGGATTAAAGAGATGTTTACAGAGATAGAATTGAAAAAATGTCAACTGATAGAATTTAAGAAATGAGAGTGAACTCCCTCCTGAACTTCAAACTTCAAGCTCCCACTGTTTACAGGACATCTCTGTGGCTAGAGCTTGCCTTCTGCTGACACTATCTTTGAGTACCTGAGTCATCATCACACATCACAACTGGGCATTGGAGTTGAACTTTGTGAATTTTTTATTTACATCACTTAAACAGGGGTAGTGGTTGTGGTGGTGGTTGTATACCTCAGCTAGAATATATGTAAAGAGTAATGTTAGTTTAGTATTCTTCCAAAACACAATCCATTATGGTAGTTTGCTTTGGAAGAAAAGCACTGACTATCTGGCTACTTACTACTTCCTTATCAACACAGCCACCAAGTCTGGGAATGGGCTGGGGAAAACCTAATAAATATGGCCACAATTCTCCATGTATTTCTATTGTTCCTACTACACAAGTCAATACTTTTGTACACAAGAATCTAAAAAATTGGCATATTTCTCAATTTAGGAAGCGCCAACTTAATTTCTGACATCCTATCTTTCATTTCTAAAAATGATTTATACTTTTCTCCCTCTCAGACAGCAGATTTTAAAGGGCTCAATGAAAGCACAGCTCAGATCCTCTGAATAGGAGAGGTAAGCTTAGGAACAATGGCAAATTCTTAAAAATAAAATTATGAAGGCACAAAGAAAAATAATTTCAAGAGGAAGAAAATGGCAATGTCATTGCACAAAGAATCTATAATCCAACTTATATTTTTTAATTAATATTTAAACTCTTTTAAAAGATGGAAGCAAGAATAGATAACAGATATCCTTAAAGCATGTTGGAAGTGCTAAGCTTCAGAATGAAGCTTCTGAAGTTTGATTATAAAAAAGTTTTTCATTTTTATTCTCTTTTTGCTATACTATTGAAAAGAGGTGGATCCAAGATGGAACAGGAATCCTGCTTGGGACAGCCCTCAGCACAAAGGAAGTACTTAATAAATGCTTGCTGACTTCACTTGGGAAAAAGTGAAAACTACACTCTTAATTTTGCTTTTATTCACTCTCCTGGGGAGAATAATCTTTGGACTGGAAAGGATAAAACAAAAACGCCTAATAGAGAGTGGATGACCGAGAAAAGTGAACAGACAGAAAAAGAGCAGCTAGGAACTGTCCTTGACCAATTCAGTTCGTTTTGCCTAGATGAACTACATTCTAGGATACTGAAAGAACTGGTGCTTGCTGAAGCACTATTAGTGATTTTTGAAAGATCAGAAAGCATAAGAAAAATACAAAAGATTAGAAAAGGGCAAATACGCTAATTTTACAAAAATAAAGGAAAATGGCACCTGCAATCTGTAAGTGAGTGATACGGACTTCAATTCTTAGCAAAATTATAGAATGGACTATTAAATTGATCTATTGATCACCTCTGGGATAAATTGTGTTATTAATCACCTTTGGGAATTATAAAGTTCTATCCAGGACCCTAAGCTTCTCTTGGAAACAAAGGTTCATCTTTTTAATACCAATGTTCTTTGTGTGTGTTATTAATCACATTTGGGAATTATAAAGTTCTATCCAGGACCCTAAGCTTCTCTTGGAAACAAAGGTTCATCTTTTTAATACCAATGTTCTTTGTGTGTGCTGTATGTTGTTGTTATTCAGTCATTTTTCAGTAGTATCTGACTCTTCATGGCCCAATTTGGGGTTTTCTTTGCAAAGATACCGCACTGGTTTGCTATTTCTTTCTCCAGCTCATTTTACAGATGAGGAAACTAAGGCAAACAGGGTTAAGTAACCTGCCCAGGGTCACATAACTAGTAAGTGTCTGAAGCTGGATTTGAACTCAGAGAGAGTAATCTTCCTGACTCCAGGCCTGATACTCTATCCGATGCAGTAAACAGCACTACAGATTCTGAAGAAATGAAATTGAAAATCATCCAAAGGGCAAGAGACAGATTGACGATGGATGTGGTCAGGCTATAACATACCACAAACCACTGGATGGCTTTTGTGCTCCACTGGCATCCTTGTGATGTTAAAAGAAAATGAACAAGGTCCCTGGTGAGCTGGGTGAATTCCCACTGGTAAACTTATGGGAAAACATGGACAAGAGCCACATAAGATGGGAAAGAAGGTATGAATGGGTTGCAATTAGCCCTGTTAAAAAGAATCCTCACCCCACCCCCACAAAGAATCACCCATGTGATTGATTCGTACTCTGATGTGATTTTAGATCCATTAAACTAATTTAATATTAATAAGACCTCATTTATGCCAAAATATTCATACTTTCACTTTTTACAGTACCAGTAAAAAACAAAAACAAAAAACAACCCAGGAATTGAATAAGTGTCCAATACTGAGCAGATGAGTTTCTGAGTTTCTTACTGCTTTGAGGTACTATAAAAACCTTCCATAAGGAAGACATAAGGACCAACTGCTGTTTCATATACTCTAAACCACCAATGATTTGCCCATCAGAAACTTTAGTCAATTATATCGCATTTTCTCTTTTTATTTTATTTTTTTACTTTTTAGGCATTTGAGATTAAGTGACTTGCCCAGGGTCACACGTCTAGTAAGTACCAAGTGTTCGGTCTGAGGCCGCATTTGAATTCAGGTCCTCCTGACTTCAGGGCTGGCGCTCTATCCACTACACCACCTAGCTGCCCCATATCAGCATTTTCTCTTCTTTAGTTGTAGCCACTAGCCACACAACTAGAGAACATTAATAATGCCTCAATATTATTTCATTACTGATGTTATGGTATACACAAAAATGTACTAGTTGCAAAGATGGCTATTTGTTAAAATAATTCCTACCTGATATATTCTAAAAGGTATGTATCGAAATCCATTATCTTCTGCAGGATATTCCATGAGTTTCCGATTAATGGCCCAAAACTGGTCAAATTTATCTGTAATAATAAATTATTTATTATTAGAAGTGGGAAAAAAATAGAATGTGGCAAAAAAGATGAAAAGGCAAATGTTGCAAAAATCACCCTAAAGTGTTCTAAAAGGCAAATGTTTCTATCTTACCACTTTGTTTATTTCTCCATAGTGATGAAGCATATATAATTAATCTCAAGAGATACTGTTCTGTCACAAAATAATTGGGGGATTATGTTTTTTATTTGCTTAGATATCTTTAAATAAAAGAGAATCCCTACAACCAAAGCATATTAAAGAAAAACTTCCATGCAGAGATGAAGATTAAGTTAAAAATTAATTAATAAATTTTAATGAATACTTATTACTAGTTTAGTATATTAATGTGCTCAAGGACTGTGACAGTATAACCTGTGCTGCTTGTCATTTTATGGATTGAAATTTATAGCATCAGGAAAAGTTATATCTCCAAATGATTATATCAATAAAATAGAGAAAGAGCAGACTAATGAACTGGGTATGCAATTAAAAAAACAGAAAAAGAACAAATTAAAAATTCTCAATCAAATACCAAATTAGAAATCTTAAAAATTAAAGGTGAAATTAATAAAACTGAGTGAAAGAAAACCACCAAATTAATAAATTAGGATTTGGTTTTATGAAAAAAACAACAAAATAGATAAACCATTAATTAATAGGATTTAAAAAAATCATTAGTATTAAAAATGAAAAGGATGAATAATACCACTAATGAAGATAAAAATCAAAGCAATCATAAGGAGTTATTTTGCCCACTTATACACCAATAAGTTTAAAAATTTGAGTGAAACACAAGAATATTTACAAAAATATAAACTGCCTACATTAACAGAAGAGGAAATAGAATATCTAAATAAACCTATTTTAGAAAAAGAAATTGAAAAAATTGAAACTGATAAATGAACTTCCTAAGAAATACATCAGGAACAGAGGGATTTATAAGTAAATTCTACCAAACATTTAAAGATGAACTAATTCCAATATTAAATAAATTATTGGAATAATAGACAAAGAAGGAGTCCTACCAAATTGATATCTAAACCAGGAAGAGCAAATTATAAACCAATTTCATTAATGAATTTGGCTTCAAAAATCTTAGATAAAATACTAGTTAGGAGACTATGACAATATATTACAAGGATTATACATTGTGACTAAGTGGGATTTATACCTGGAATGAAGGGATGATTTCATGCAAAGGAAACTATTAACATAATTGATTACATCAATAACAAAGGTAATGAAAATCATGTAATCATATCAACAGATGCAGAAAAAGCTTCTGATAAAATACAACACTCATTCCTATTAAAAACACTTGAAAGCATAGGTATAAAGGGATTTTTCCTTAAAATGATAAGAAGCATCATGAAAAGGTACCATCAAGCATTATTTGTAATGGGGATAAGCTTTAGAAGTCTTCATAATAAGATCAAGAGTGAAACAAGAATGCCCATTGTCACCAATATTATTTAATATTGTACCATAAATGCTAGCAATAACAATAAGAGAAGAAAGAGAAATTGAAGAAATCTGAAATGGGCAATGAGAATAAAACTACCTCTTTTTGCTGACAATATGATGATATACTTGGGAAATGCTAAAGATTCAACTAAAAAGTCAGTGAAAACAATAATTTTAGCAAAGCAGCAGGATATAAAATAAACCCATGAAAATAATCAGCATTTCTATATATCACCAAAAAAACTCTGCAAGAAGAGCTAGTAAGAGATACCCCATTTAAAATAACTGTAGACAGTATAAAATACCTGGGAGTGTACCTACCAAAACAAACTCAGAAACTACATGAACATAAGTATAAAACATGTTTTATACATATACTGTCAATTTAATTAATTTAAATAATTAGAGAAATATTAATTGTTCATGGGGAGGCATAGCCAATATAACAAAATTGACAATTTTACCTAATCTATTTATTCAATGCCATCCCAACTAAATTACCAAAAAGTTATTTTACTAGAGCTAGAAAAAATAGTAACAAAATTCATTTGGAAGAACAAAAAGTCAAGAATATCAAAGGAATTAATGGAAAAAAAACCCACAAAGGAAGAAGGTTTAGCAGTTCCAGACTTCAAACTAATATTGTAAGGCAGTAATTATCAAAACTATCTGGTAGTGCCTAAGAAACAGAAATATAGATGAGTGGAACATAGTAGGCATACAATACACAGCAGCAAATGGTCATAATAACTTTATTTTTGACAAATGTAAAGATCTAAGCTTTTGGGACAAGAATTCATTATTTGGTAAAAAATGGTTGGGAAAGGTGGAAAGCAGACTGGCAGAAACTGGGGATGGATCAATATCTTACACCACTTAATCAAGTCAAGGTCAAAATGGATACATGACTTAGACATAAAGGGAGATAGCATAAGAATATTAGAAGAACATGGAACATATTATCTATTGGACTTCTGGATAGGAGAACAAATTATGAATAAACCGGAGATAGAGAACATTATGAGGTGTAAAATGGATAACTTCATTACATTAAATTTAAAAAGTTTTGTACAACTAAAATCAATGTAGTCAAGACTAGAAGGAAATTTGGGAGAAAAATTTTACAGACAGTTTCTTAGATACAGGTATCATATCTCAAATATATAGGAACTTTGTCAGATCTATAAGAATATGAGTCATTTCACAATTGATAAATGGTCAAAGGATATGAACAAGCAGTTTTCAGACAAAGAAAGCAAAGCTATCTATAGTCATATGAAAAAATAGTCTCAATCACTATTGATTAGAGAAATGCAAATTAAAACAACTTTGAGATATCATTTTATAACTATCATATTGGCTAAAATGATAAAAGGGGAAAGCAACAAATGTTGGAGGGGATATGGAAAAGTTGGGACACTACTTCACTGTTGGTGGAACTATGAAACTATGGAGAGCAATCTGGAATTATGCCCAAAGAGTTATAAAACTGTGTATACCCTTTGACCTAGCAACACCACTATTAGGTCTGTTTCCCAAGGGGATCAGGGAAAAAGGAAAAGAACTTATATGTTCTAAAATATTTATAACAGCTCTCTTTGTGGTAGCAAAGAACTGGAAATTGAGAATGTCAATTGGGAAATGGCTAAACAAGTTGTGGTATGTGATTGTGATAGAATACTAATGAGCTATAAGAAATGATGACCTGGTTGATTTTAGAAAAACATGGAAAGACTTGCATGAAATAATGAAAAATGAAATAAGCATAACTAAGACAAAATTGTACACTGTAACTGCAATATTGTTCTAAGAACAACTTTGAATGACTAAGTCATTTTGAGTATTATAAATACTCAAATCAACTACAAAGGACCTATGAAGGAAGATGCTATCCACATTGAGAGAAAGAACTGTTAAACATTAGTAGGTATGGTGTGGTATGGAATTACACACATTGACACATGTATACATATACACACATATATCTGTGTCTAATGGTAACTTTCTCTAGTGTGGACTGAGAAGGGAGGGAGGAAAAAAAAACACAAAGCAGAAAACAAAAGAAAACTTAGAAGGAAGCACAGAAAAGCAGGGCAACTTTGAAAGTGATTTATAGCATAGTTTTTCAAAAAAGTAAACTGTGAAAGGAAATTCATGGCTTTATATTGAATTCTCTTATGTGTGCTGTGTACATGGAAATGTTCTTTTTTCATGTCTTTTTGTATTTAAGTTCAAAATGAATGAATTTTTAAAAAAATGTACAACTTCAGGACACAAAAGCTTGCCTAATAGTCCTCCAAATACAGTGGCAGGAGGAGGTAAAAAGGGAAACCTGCAGAATACAAGTATGAGAAGATTTGGTTCTACCAAATACAAAGGCTTAAAGTAAGATCTTAGCACCAGAATGTGTCTATTTCATCTAGGACTAGCATAGCTAAGTATATAGCATCTTGCCACCAGCAGGCTGGTCAATAATGATGAAATGTTTAATCACTGAAACTGATGAAATAAAGAAAAGCACTAAAAGACCCTTGGTTGTATTTCTTTCTACTCCTGTAAGGATAGTGACAAAGTGGCAAGAAAGAGTAGAGGATACAAAGAAACACAGTTCTTATACCACATATAAGCATTAATTTCATTCATGATAAAGCTTAATCCTTGATCAATTATTTCACAAGTTACTGGAGTCAAATGGATATTGACCTGTGCTATAAATGAAATCAAACAACACAAGAAGCTGCAGGAAGGGAAAATAAAGAAATTAAGAGAATTGATGGCCAAAGGCAACAACAAACATAATTTTATGGAATACTTGATCATCTTGTCTTAAGGTACTTAAGATGAACATAATTAAAGAACTACTATGGCAATAAGTGCAGCATTTGTACAGATGTCTGTGGCAGAGGATAAACAGGACAAGATATTCTACAAACATTCAAGTCAAAAAGTATTTATTAAGTACTTAATATGTGCCAGGCACTGTGCTACGATAAGATCACTCAAGTCAAAAGAAACACTGATACTTGAAGACTTTGATGCAAAGATGGGAATATGGAAGAATAGCATAAATTAAGCTAGAAAATATGACTCAGAAATAAGAAATGGCAAAAATTTATCTTATTCATGGCTATACTGTATATCATGACAATTAGTGACTTGTTTTTATGAAGTATTAGGAATAAAACTTTAAAAAGCAGTAGTAATGCAATGGTGTATTGCCAACCTACTGGTCTACAAACAACAGTTGTTTGCTGGTTCTGTATGTGAAGTCTTTTCAAGTTTCTAGGATCTGCCAAAGCAGGAGACCCTGGCTGGCATAGCCTTCAAGAATTCAGAGCCACCATCATAATGAGGCACTGGAATAGGAATTTATAGAAGAAAAGTTTTTTACTGCCAGAAAAAAAAAAGACTTGAAGAAATGAAATTAAGTCACCTGTCAGTTAGCCATGCAATGGAAGACAGTGATACAAAAGACAGCATATATGAAAAGATAATTAACAGACCTCATTTTAGCCAATAGTTT